TTAAATGAAAAGGGTGGGATGTTTTATCATTTTTAAAAACACATCAAAGATTTAAGTTTCCATTTCTTCATCAGTGACTCACCTATCCAAAGTGGCGTTTTCGTGCTCTCTGAGCTTTTCGATGACCGGCTGTATGCCCAACATCAGGAACTCGTACCTTAGATGGAGGCGAAACTCCAGGTTGTCCTGAACATAAAGGATCAAACAATAAGAGAGAACACGAAGCTGTAATAAATCCGTATGTCATATTTAATGGGACATCAGATACCTCAGAATCTAAAAAGTGTTGCATGTATCTTGGTATGTATCATCTTTAAGCAGCATTTTAGCATAATTACAAAAAGAAGACTTTGATTCCAAAACCCACTGCTATCTCTAAAATTCTCTAACAGGTTCTGTCTTTTATTTTTGTTTACTCGGTACAAAATCTTCAACTAAAAAGTCAACAGTTCTTAGAGGAAAACACCATCTATGTTGTTCATGATGATCCACAAACAAAAGCCATGCCACTCCATCTATAGTCAAATCATGGCTGCACTTTATCGTATATTTCACTCAATTTACCTTTAAGCTCAGAATGAAACAAACTTTATTATTTGTGAACCATAAAAAACAAACAGCCTCTCCTGCTGCTTTAGTGACTGACTATTCTTACAAGTATTTAAGAAATCACTTTCCATGAAAGTTACACTCATTAAGTTTTGTATACAGGTATTTAGAGTGTGTTTAACAGGCATGAGGCTGTGAATGCAGACCTCTCCAGCCCCAGCGTTGAGCACGGCGTTAATGAAAGACATGATGGCGGTCTTTAAGTTGACCTCGTCTCTGTAGCGTCCTGTACTTTTGTCCAGCTCATTCAGCAGCGTCTGGAAGATCAGAGGAGATGGCAAAGTTAGTCAGCAAGTGCGTTTGATCGAAAGAAAAAAAAAAGAAATTAATTGGATAGTAATTTCAATCTATATTTAATTTAACAGGCAAGCAGCACAGGGCTGCTGTTCTCAGTTCTTGCCCCCTTCTTTGCCTCTTAAACTGACCTTTGGCACTCTTTAGTATCTTAATCGTAATTCAAAGAAACATTAAAAGCCCTCGTAAGTTTGAATCACTCAGCTCCTGTGGTGTTAGCTTAGCCAAGGTGGCATGATTTACCGCACACCCCAGGGGATGTATGAGATGTGGTTTGTTGATTCAGTCCTGCTAGTCACTAAAGCACTACACATACTGTGACCTCCATAACTTAAGATGTCCTCACCTGCCTTTAATAACGCATGTGTGTTGACGTAACCCAAGGCCAGCCGTCTGAGGCACTAAAGCACAATTCTCCAACTTATCAAAATGACCGCAGCTTGATTTATTTTAGCATTACCCAGAAATATTTGTCTGCCTTTACCCATAATCTATGTCTGCCTCACACTGTCAGCAAAGGCTCCTCAAGCCTGAATGTGCCACATGGCATGCCCCTGCGTTAACCTCGGATACTAACAAAAAAAGCTTCTCTTACCTGGAAGCGAGTCCTCTCAGCAGCATATTTCTGGTAATGTGCCATGGCTTGAAGCACCTTCTTGTGTCCATCTGGCACCAGGCACACCGCCCCAAGAATCTCCAGTACTGCCACTTTGGTCTTGAAGTTATCTGTCCGGAGGCTCTGTGAGATGGTATTGATGCTCTGCGGGTGGGCCAGGACATGCGCACGGCCCTGCGAGTTGTTCATCAGTGCCTTGATGCACCCGATGACGGAGGTGTGGACGCGGCTCTCCGACGTCTCGTAGTCCATGCTGCGCAGGAAGTTGAGGAGGCAGGTGAGGCCGTCCAACTCGATGAAACGCGTAACAAACCTAATGGAGGAAAGGAGGAAAAGCGCAGGGTAAAGACTGAGCCAGTGTGCTAGTTTACAACCAACGCACAATATAAAGATAAAGGTTCATACTAAAACTGTAACCTAACCCATATTTTAACAACACAGTGAAATTCCTGCTTCCATAGTTCCC